TGGGTAACAAGAGCGAAACTCCGTCCCCCCCACCAAAAAAAAAAAAAAAAAAAAAAGAACAAGGTGAATATGGTCTGGTGAATATGGTCTCTATTTTCCTGTAGATTACAATGGTTGGAGGAAACATTATACAAATCACCACACATATTGACGTAGCATTACAATTTATGAAAGATACAATGAAGTAAATTAAGAGTATAGTAACAAGAGACTCATTTATTTGAGGGTCAGTAAAGGCTTTATAAGAATGCAAAAATAAAGCTGAGACCTAAATGATAAGGAAGAATCAGTGGTGAGTAGAGGAAAGAACACTGTGGGTGGAAGAGTCAACACTGTCAAGACCAGGGATCAGCAAACTTTTCATCTGTTGGTCCAGACAGTACACATATATTCTGCCTTGTAGGCCATATATTCTCTGTCTCAACTATTCAACTCTGGCACTGTAGTATGAAAACAGACATAAACAACACATAAATGGATGAATGTGGCTGTGTTCCAATCAAACTTAACTTATGGCCACTAAAACTGTAATTTCATATTACTTTCATAAGTCACAAAATATCATGCTTTCGATTCTTTCTTAACCACTTGAAAATGCAAAGCCATTTACCTTTTCTCAAGCCATCTAATAACAGGCATAACAGGCAGTAGGCCACATTTGGCCTGGGTGCCACAGGCTGCCAACCTCTAGCCAAGACTCAGGTAGCAAAGAACTGTGTACGTGTAAAGAACTCTGAGTGGATCCCTGTGGATGGGATACAGTGAGACAGGAGGTAAAAGACAAACAGTGAGGGCAGAGGGGGAGGGAAAAATGACATCATGCACCATTTTCCAGTCCATGTTTCAGTTTTTGGAATGTATCTAATAGAGCAATGCAAAGCAATCAGAGTGCTATCATCAGGGGAATGAGAAAACTCTAGTTCTTACTCCCACACACATATTCTCTCCAATCTTTATATGTCTGCCAGTTACCTAAGCTGGCCCCTCCCTTGCTTAACAATCATCAACCAATCACTATCACCAAATAAGCCCTTAATAAGCTGAACTCAGACTATGTACCTGGCCTCATCTCCTGCTATGCTTACTGAAGCACCACAGCTCATGCCCTGGGACTCACCTACCATACCACAGATGAACCAAAGTCTCTCTTCAGAATCTCTTTCCTATCTTCTCTACTAGTCAAAACCTCCGTTCTTATCTTGAGGCTCTTGTCAAACTATTTGCCTCCAGGAAGCAAATCCTTTCTCCCAGAGCGCTTTGTATACTGCTATATCACAATGCATGGCACATCTGATGGTTCTGTTTTCATGTCACTCCTCCACCAACCCCATTCCTTATGCTCCCCGACCACCATCCCAAGTGGACTCTGTGCAGCCCATGTCCCCAGTGCCTGTCACAGTTGCTGGTTCATAGTTGAGCTCAGTACAGATTTCAAAAATTAAAGAATGAATAAAGAGTAAACACATGACAGCTCAATGAACTTAGAACACAGAACATCATGCTTTTATTTCAAATGTGCACCTGAGCAGCTCTACTGAAGCTCTCAAACTTCCCTGTGTCTCCCATCACAGCTTTAAAAACAAAGGTACCATTCCCTGACTCCCCACAAGGGGATGATTTTCAGAGTAGGTGAACAGAGCTTTTGGAAGTATAAGTGGTTTCATAAGTCCCCAGGCCAGCAACATTAGCATCACCTGGGAACTTATGTTACAAATGCAAATTCTCAATTCTCAGTCCCTATCCTAGGGCTACTGAATCAGAACCTATAGCTCAGCAAGATCTTCAGGTGATTCATTTACACATTTGAGTCTGAGAAGCACTATAGCTTTTGTGGACAGGCTTCAATAAGGTGCTAAAACTGACTTTAGAAATCTATTTAATTTTGATTTTGCAATCATGTTAAAACCAAAGGAATTCTCAGCAAGAATTCCTGTACATGCTTACCAAAACACACCCACACTAGAGGCTTACTCAGAAAATTCTGAAAGAAAATTGATTTTTTTAAAATAAATTAGTAGAAGATGCTCTCAGAAAGTCACAAACACTGGCATGTAAGTTAGACCTTAACTATTTCCTGTGGGATTTATTTAGTGCAGTTTGATCTCGTCTGAGAGGGTAAGAATCCTGAGAGGTTCATGCCAGATATGCATTTAGATCTCCTAGAATATAGGCTGGAGATGACCAGGCGGCAAGAGCTCTACAAGGCCCTGACGCTGAACTAAAGACCTTCGGCCCGATCCTCTTTGCTTAACTCAGTATAACTCTTCATTCTGTGCTGCCAAAAAAGGTGATATATCTAACCTGTTTCTTCTCTCTTGCAACAAGTTTAGGCCAAATTGAAGAAGACCACTGCCATCATTCCTGGTCCTATCCCCTAAGAACCATGCTTCACAGAGGGATTTTAGTACTGCATGACATTATAGAATAAGCTGAGATTTGGAGCCCAGTAGACATGGAATTAAATTCTGGCTCTATTACCTGTTTGGGAAAGCCTCCTCAGGATCAGTTTCCCATGCTGTCTACCAGGCAGAGATTGTTAGGATTAAAATCAACTAATGCCTATACAATTCAAAGCAGGGTGTGGGGGCAGTGCAAAACAGTTCTATATTCAATTTTGTGTTTCAGTATATTCTGAGTCAGGTTTTCACACTGGTTAAACCAACTCTCCCATTTTATAGATGAAAAAAGTGAGGCCTGAGATGAGAAGTGCTTTGACCAAAGCATACAATTGTTGACAGCAGAATCAGAATTAGATTCTTGAAAACTCCTAAGAAACTCTGTTTTCAAACTCTTAGCAACCACAGATGCCTTTCTGTAGAATAAAACTTACAAAACAGCTCAATATATAAAGCAGATAACAAGCCAAGCCTGCTTTGATTGCTGAAGCCCTTCTTTCCTACCACTCTTTTGCCCCATGATGGCAATCCTTAGGCATCTTCTAAGCACCCTAAGCTTTCCCTATCTCCAGTCACAGTCTGAGTAATGGAAGACTCAGCCCACCTGAAATCTCAGAGCCAGTAAATGAATCACAGCAGGTCATGCTCATTAGATGGATTCTGTATTTCTTCAGACCACCTAGAGGTCTTCAAGTCCTTGAGGTTTCCCAAAGGACTTGAACTTTCTCACAAATCCATCTCTAATGGGAACCATTAAGCTGACAGCACCATTCTCCACACTTCATAAAGGAGTCCTAACATCTGGAAATGGAAACCACCTGCAAGTGCTTTGACCAGAGATTGCCATATCATTCAAGGATAAGAAACTCAGGGAAGGGGGGATGAGAAAGAGATACCCTAAGATGTCAACAAGGCCAAATATTAGTAAACTGGGGCTAACACTGTACAGAATAGGAAGGCCCTGGTCAGAAGACATGGACTTATTTCCCACCTCTGCTGCTTTCTCACTAGAAAGGCAATTAACCTCTCTGAACTTCAGTAGAAAACTGGATATTAAAAGAATTGATTTTGGATGGCCGGGAACAGTGGCTCACACCTATCACCCCATCACTTTTGCAGGATCACATCAGCCTCGCCTACATAGTAAGACCAAGTCTCTACAACAGAAAAACTTTAAAATTTTTAAAATGATTTTGGAGTTAGCCAGTCTTAGATTCAAATTCTGGCTCTGTCACATATTTGTCATTTTGAGTGAGTTGTTTTATCTCTATGAACATTAGGTTTCTTGTCTATAAAACAGACATCCTGCAAAAAAAACACCACACACAAAAACACTTCATTGGGTTGCTGGCCTTCAAAGAGATAATGTGTACGATACTTGTCATGGTGCCTGGTATGAGTTAGGCACACAAAAACAGGTATGATTTAACTGCACTGTAATCAATAAAATGGGATCTACCTTCCTCCAAGTTGCTGGGAAAAATCAAAGGGAACTGATTTCAGCAGGTTGCCTGGTACATACAGATCCACAATAAAAGGGATCCTCTCACATTGTTGGTGTTTTCTCTTAGACTCTATACACTCACCTCTTTCAGCCACAGAAGCTTCGGGGCCTGCATTTCCACAGACATCACCCCCCCAACGTACTGGAGAATGCTGTGCTTGGTCTCGTTGATCCTATTGACCTGACTGACTGCTCGATGGTCCAGCCACATGATGACGTTTCGACGGGAATCCCCTAGCAGAAACGAGAGGGAGATGCAGATAGACACACATTCTATTCCTTCAAATTCAAGGGAACAATTACGGATTCCTAAGACTAAAATGCTATGTGCTTTCTATAATTCCATGTATCAAGAATGAGCAAAGTGAAAGGACACCAGCAAGGCTGACGACTGCACTGTCCCCAGGCCCGGAATCTCCCATCCAGTAATGTGTTCTCTGACCATAACCTTAGAATAAAATGTCTACATTAAAAGCAGAAAAACATCTACTAATTAATTATATTATCATGTATTCTCTCTCAACTTCTTCCCTTCCTTTCTTATCCCTTCTGTTCTAGAAAAGCTTTTCTGGGCATATATTCAGGAAACAAGTCTATGAAATAAGACTAAGATAATACTTTCTCTCTTTTTTTTTTATTTTTAATTGCAAAAGACTTCATTTATAGCACTTTCAATAATGAACCAACAGGAGAGTTGCTGACTTTGGAACATATGAATATACAAAAATCCCTTGCAATTCAGGTAGCCAAGATAATAAGCTCATTCAAGGAAAGCAATCTTCACTTTTCTGAAAACTTTCACATTTTAAAAGGTGACTAGGCGTACTTGGAAGTTCAAAGCAGTAGAATGCACCTTGCAGGGAAAGGAGGAAGAATACCCTTTTCCATGTTGTTAGGCAAATGTATATCAAATATATCCCAATTCCGCTTGAAGAAGTCAGCTGGATGACCTCCTTGAATCAGGGTATGGCAGAACACTTAGTGAAAGTGGGCCCTGGGAAGGGCTGTGAATCCAGGAGAGGAGCACCAGATCCCATGCAGCGCCAAACACATCCATCCTACCCTCTAACACAGACGAGGCACGTCACCCCACGTCCCTGGACCCGGATGCATGAGAGCACTCATCAGATGGTTACTGCTCCCACAGCCTAGTGCTTTACAATGGTCTTAATTTAAGCCATGGAGAAAAATCCTTTACCACCAAGTGCAAACTGTTATTGAACTTAAGTCATAAGGGATGCTATCTGGCAAATTCTTGTAATACATATATAAGGACTTCTATTTACCTAATTAGAACAATGATTACCCAACTGACATTCCTGTTTTCATAAGGTTTTGTTCTCTACACTGGATGGCTTAAAGTTGTCTACTTTTGGTTTTATTTTACACTTTTAAAATAGAGGGAATAGAGAGAAAAAAATGTGACTAACTGCCTAACTCTGAAACCCAGTAGGTACAAAAGTGAACTTCTCTGACTCTGGGTCCATCAGATTTGGAGGAAGTTTCAGTGCCTAGGGAACGTTATGAAGCCCATTACACCCCGAATCCTACAGAAAGAATTCTATAGCTCATCATCACAGTGTTCTAGTAAAGCATATGCTGAAAAGTACAGGTTTCAACCTAGTGTCTAAATTTTTAAAAGTAGCATTTCAGCAACAAACAAGCTCAGAGAACTCATCGCAAAAATGAAATAACAGAACTATTGCTCAGATGTCAAAAAAGTCAAGCTGCTGCCCTCAGCTCCACTTAGGCAGACACGTAAGGTGGCAGCTGCTCCTTGGCAGCACCATTCACAGAGGCATCATCATACGGCAGTAGTAGCACCGTATTGTCATTGCTGGTTACATAAACCAGGACATCAGAGGAATTCCTGCCGAATCAGTAGCAGTTTCCAACACAGCTAATCAAGTAACCCTTAAAAGTGAAGATAATGCTAATAAACAGAAGAATAAAAAGGACCAAACAGGTAGGATTCACTGACATGACATCATCTCTGTAGGGAAAATTAGGAGGCCATTGTCATACGTATTCCTGAATGGAGTTTGGGTAATAAACAAGCACAGTGATTGCAACCAAGGTGTTCAAGGCAAATCAAAGATCTGGTAACAGAAGAATGGGATAATCCAGGCTGCATGTTGCTTGTATGTTCCATAAGTAGCGATAGCACATATCAGAGTCATGAGAAGAGAAATCGCAATGACAATGCACATGTAGTTCCACATGCCTGGGGAGGCCTCAGGATCATGGCAGAGGGTGAAAGGCATTTATTCCATGGCGGTCACAAGAGAGAATCAATACTTTCTCTTTTTAAGATCTATGTCCCTTAAATATGAATAAATACTTTGATAATATATCTAATAGCTACACGATGGCATTTAACTGCTTATATACTCACTTTTTTCTGGTCAGTTTAATTAAAATTAGTTCATTTAGGTGGTTTTATTTTTCCCCCTCATTTGGTTGGCTTGTTTGCTAGAGTGGGAAGCTCATGAGTTTTGGAATTAGGCAGACCTAACGGGGAACACTAATTCTTAAGTTACAGATGAAGATATATAATTCAGGAAGTTATTAAACAAAAGATAATGCACATAAAGGATATGGCAAGTACTTCTCAGAAAATAGGCCCTCAGGAGGAGTAAAGCATAAGGAAGAGAATTTAAAACCAGCTGGAAACGGAGCACTGCCCCCATATCCTTCCTCTATCACTCTGTAGCCCACATAGTAACTTCTTGTCTCTCTCCCCAGCCTCTGTTAATTCATCCTGTACTGACGGGCAAGCCAGAAATCCTTTCACAGCCCTCTGACGCCTCTGATGGCAAAATGTGCAGAACAGCTATAAATATACCTGGGAGATTATTAGGGGAAAGAGAAAAGAGACCCAGCAGTTGCCAAGCCAGGTATTATATTTTCACATATTATTTTATTTAATGGCAAAGTAACCACAGCACTACATATCTTGCTAATAGCAAATGTTCGTAATGTGTGTTTATGTGTCTCCCAAACCCTGTGCTAAACATTTTACATACATCATCTCATTTAATCCCCAAAACAATCCTCTGATACAGGTTTCTGACCCCTGTTTTTCAATGACAGACTCTTGAAAGTGAAGATGTACCCAATGTCTCAAAGCTAGGAAATGCATGAAGTGTGTTTTGGAAATAAAGCTGCATAGAGAATAGATAAATCAATTGGTAAAATGAATAAATTGGTGTTAGTCATAGCAAAATTAACAAGGACACCAGCTGAGATACTTTAAAACACAGAGTCAGACCTCCATGTCTGTGAGTTCTACATCTGTGGATTCAACCAACCGTGGATTGAAAATATATATATTTTAATGGATGGTTGCATCTGAACAAGTACAGACTTTTTTCTTGCCATTATTCCCTAAACACTATAACAAGTATTTACATAGCATTAGGTATTATAAGTAACCTAGAGATGATTTAAAATATATGGGAGGATATATATAAGTTATACGTAAATATGATGCCATTTTATATCAGGGATTTGAGTATCTGTGGGTTTTGGTCTGAAGGAGGTCCTGGAACCAGTCCCCCTCAGATACAGATGAATGATTGTATACTGTTTGTTGCTGTGAGTATATATACATATGTAGTAAAAGCACAAAAACAGTATGTTTATGAATAGCAACTACAGCAGAATGGTTACCTGCAGGAAGTGAAAAACTGAAGTTACAAATACCTTTTTTTTTAAATAAAAGGAGGTGAGGCAAATATGGCAAAATGTCATGTTTATCCTCAGAGGTAGGTACATAGGAAGCTGTTGCTTTCTTTACTCTTCCACATCTTTGAAAAGAATTTTAAAAATTAATCCAAAAAAAAAAAGCCAATGTAAATGTAAGAAGATATCTAAATAAGGTCATGGGCATAACAAGGCAGGGGCTCAGTTGCTGGTTTGCCTAACTGAAAAGATCTCACCTCCCACAAAAGCTCCACAAACAGTAATACTAATACTTTAAAAATTGCACAGAGTGTATGGGACCTTCCACAGGCATGTCAGAGAATTTTTTTGTAAACAGAATGGTTCCACTGTATAACAGAACTGCTCAAAGCTCTGGTTCTCAAACCTAGTTGCACATTAGTGTTGCCTTGAGGACTTCTAAAAAACTGATGTCCAGGTCCCATTCCAGAACCACCAACGAATCAGGATGTAGGTGTGTACAAATGCATACACCTGCATGTGTGTGGGTGGGTGGGTGAGTATTGAAGAGGGCAATATCAGTATTGTTTCTTAAGTACTGTACAGAACACACCTACAGCTACTTCAAGGCAAAAATATCTGTTGCTAAACTTCTGCCTATAGTAAAGATAGACCAATCAGCTACTACTGCCTCTATACAAAGATGCTCTCAAAAATGTAATCAGAACAATACAATGAAAATTGTACAGAATCAATACTGTATTAGAATGGATAATTTTCATTTTAGATAAAAACTAAAAAATTAATTTTTTTTTCTGTTCTTATAGAAAACCACAAGTAAATCAATGGAAAGTTTGTTTAATCTTTTATTGAGCATCTACTACATGCCAAGCACAGTGCTGGATGCTGGGATATCAGGAAGAACGTGCCACAGTTCTGCCTTTAAGCAGCATATGTTTGCATGGAGAAAGTGTCTATACTCTGTTTTGATTGCCAGAACAAGAGTATCAGACATGGGAACTGGGAACATGGAGAAGGAGCAGAGAGAAGGCTCTAGTTAACTGAGCCTGGAGCTGCAAAGAAAGCTTCCAAAAGGCAGGAAAGTGTTTATTTAATTCTTCAAATGACCAGCCACTGGCTAGGCAGGAGAAGAAAAAGTGAGAAAGAGGTTCTACATGATGCGGCAGCATGGGAAGCAGAACACAAACCCACGAAGATGTCGTCTTTTAAGAGAATTGGAGGTAGGGCAAAATTTGAGCTATCTCACTTTACCTAAGGGCAGATTATTCATCCATGTATTCGCTTAATTGATATCTTGCTAAAATACAGGTTTATGTTCACAGAATGTGTTGCAGGCATACATGAGGAGAAAATTTATTATGAATCATCAAAACATCTAAACATCAGGTATCTGATGCACAGAGAAGACTAGGTCATAACTCCCTCTCCCAGCCCCAATTATCACCCTTTGCTCCTCTCCCTCCCAGGAGCTCCTATGGCTGAGATGTCACAGCCAGGGTGAGGCTCTGAGCTTGGTCAGTGGCAGAGGTGGGAAGCATTCAGCAACTGTGCTGCTGTCCAACCCAAGGGCTGTTCTGATCTTTCTTTAAGGAAGAAGAGTCAAACAAGGAAAGGCAAGCAATAAGACTATTTTATCATATAGCAATACCGTATTTTCTTAAACTGTGGTACTTAATTTATTTGTTTGTAATTTTTTGGTTAACATCTAAAGATGGCAATACTTTTGCTGGTCTTACGGGTTTGGTTTTAGGTTATCTGCATGATTAGGGTTATCTGCAATCTTCCTGATACCACTCTCTGCTCCTCACAATTACTTGCATTAGCCAATCAATAGTTGGTTGCTGCCATGCAAGTAGAGAAGTCTCTCTCTAAAGAACCTTCAAACCACCTTTATAATTCTAATTTCATTTTCTTGCACAGGATAATCCATTTCACATAAAAAATCTAACCTTAATACAATCTGTTGAAAGGCAAGAAACTGGTGAAGGGCACCTGCAGCTGGATGCATTTGATGAACGGGTACACTTTAACCTTTTAGGTGGAAAAAAGTTATTTCAACACTTATAATTAGAGTAGTAACCTAGCTACCATTTTAATAGAGGACCTGTTAACAGGAGGCCATTATACCTACAATGAAGAAAAAAAGCATCCAAAGAGGGTACATATTTAAGCAAATTTCACAAGGAACCATCTTCTTCCACTTCAAGTGTTCTGTTCCTAATATTTTAATTCTCCGTTAATCTGTGCCCAGTGATTCTCTACATACTAGACTCACTGAGAAAACTCTTTTAAGAAGTCCACACCCTAGCTCCACCTCAAGTCAAATGAATACAAATCTTGGGGGTAGGGCTCAAGAATTGACAATGTTTTAAAGATCTCCAGTTGATATTAATGCCAAGCCAGAGTAAATAAATAAATAAATAAATAAATAAATATGTATTTTAGCAGATCAGATAATACAAAATCCTTGAAGCAGGATTCTTAATATCTAAAATCCTACCTAAAATCAGGCTCTCTAACACGGCTCTTGTGCTTAATGGAATTAAGTCCCCCCCCCAACTCTGCCCCCAATACCACCCCACACATACCAATTGCTCTCCAAGCTTTTAATTTCTGAGACATGACTTCTGGCCTTTACACTTTGCCTCTAAATCTCACTATCAGTAGTAAGAGACAACTGATCTATGGCATCCCCAACAGACAATCGCCTGACTTTTACTTAAATAAAGCCCACAAAAGACGTGCTGACAGCCTCCCAAAACGGCCAGGTCCATGGCTGGCCACATCTTGTCATTAGTGAATGCTTGCTGCTACAGAGCTGAGGTCTGCCTCTTCACTACTCATGTTTGGTTTCTGCTTTCTGAAATGGCTCAGACCAAGGCTGCCCTGTCCTGGGCCACAACAGTGCCAACTGAGACAATTTATGGCCACAAAGATTAAGAACCATCCTGATTCATCTTTGAAGACCCAGCATTTGATAAGACAGGGCTTGGCACGCAGAAGATGTTAATACATGTGGCAAGAAGAGAGAACAAAGTGTGTGTGTGTGTGTGTGTGTGTGTGTGTGTGTGTGTGTGTGTAGAAAATGGTCATCATTACTACTCTGTTCTAATCATTCATCTATTTGCATCCCTTTTCAGCACATAGTGATTATGATTATTTATAGTGATCACTTATAGTGAAAAGGGATGCAAATAGATGATCATTTATAGTCATTATAATTATAATAATCACTTTCATATATTAGGTCCACAGAATTGACCAGAACATTCTCTTAACATAAAAAAAATTCATCATCTGCTGGAAGAAACTTTTCTGAGTATTTTAGGTATCAATCTCTCACCAAATTGTCACAGTAAAGCTACTGATTCATTATTCAAAATCTTTCAGAGAAGAAAACTGAGAAACGCAGAGTTAAGTGACTTGCCCAAGATGTCACAGCTCAGCAACGGCAGAGCTACAATCAGAGTCCCTGCTTAACTCTAACTCCACTGGGTACCAAGGCACCCTACTATCTCACAGCCAACAGTTAAGAAAGACGCTGCTGCAACAGTGTCCAGAACTAAGGGTTCTCAAACAGAATCTGGCCCAAAATATGTTTGCAATGTCTGTCTTGGCAACAGCTAACTAGCAATGCCTAGAGCTAGCCCCTCCCTTCAGATGGAGCATGCAATTTCCAGTGGAATGCAGGCTCCACTGTTCTCTAATGCCTTCTGCTTATTCAAGGTTAATTATCAGTTGAAATTTATCCTCACACATGTGCGGTTGTTTTTCTCAAACCTGGCCTATTACTCATTTACATTACCTGTCTGACTAATGTATTAATTATTACATTAATGTATTAATAGACTTTTGGGTTTGTAACCCCAGTACTAGTGTTACTGGCTAAAATTCCCCAGAAGTGACAACTTTATCTGCTGTGAAAAATCTCTTACGATGGACCCAAGTGGCGCTTGACATTTGAAACAGCTCATTTCTGTACTCACAAGTCTCTATTAGGACAACATCATTCAACATGAATGTCTTTTGGTCTGGTTATCGAAAATAGAGAGGCCATCTGCTTCTAGTTTCTAGTGTCACATGGCCCTGTCTACTATGTTCCATTTCCTTTCAAAGGACTTGGTTCAGCCACTCAAATAAGCATGGAATAGGAGCTTCATATACAATGAAACTGCAAGCACTGACACTCCCTTCCCAGAAAACATCAAAACCACCAGTGTGTTTCAAGGTTTCTCACTCCTAGCTAACAATCTCATGTCCGTCCTTGACCAGGCTCTGTACTGTGGCTCTTGAGTTTTATAAAGCCAAGTCCCCCTAATCCAGCCTTAGCACCACCCCACTCATACCAACTGCTCTCCTAACTTTTGACATCTGCAACATGATCTGTGTCACCTCATTCTACCTCTAAATCTCACTATCAGCAGCAAGAGATGCCTGCCCTCCTGCTCCACTTGTGTCCATTGGATTAATCAGCCAAGTCACCCACCACTGGGAAAAGGAAGAGACATAGTCTTACCTTCATGGTTGACTGGTAAAGGGTGAAACTCCTTATCCAAAACAACCAGAGAACACGTGGCGTCAAACCCAAGTCCTCGAATTTGGTTTAAATCAATCCCTTGCACAACTTTCTGTTTTAAAAACAAACAAAAACATGAAGTAAAACACCAGAGTCTTAAAAGATTGAAGACAGTTACAACTAGAAAGAAGGAATGACAGAATAGAAAATAATCTTTACAGCATAAAACAGATAAAAGTATAGTATCACTAGAATACCAAAAGATCCTATAAATAAGAAAAAAGAGCCAATCTAATTGGAAATTAAAGCCAGGCATGAAGGCTCATACCTGCAATCCCAGCACTTTGGGAGGCTGAGGTGGGCTGGATTACCTGAAGTCAGAAGTTAAAGACCACCCTGGCCAACATGGTAAAATGCTGTCTCTACTAAAGACACAAAAGTTAGCTGGGTGTGGTGGCGTGCTCCTGTAATCCCAGCTACTTGGAAGGCTGAGGCAGGAGAATAGCTTGAACCTGGGAGGCTGAGGTTGCAGTGAACCGAGAGCACGCCATTGCACTCCAGCCTACGCGACGAGAGCGAAACTCTGTCTCAAAAAATGAAATAAAATAAAAATTAAACTTAAAAAATTGGAAATTAAGCAAAGGAATAAAAAGTCACTTCATAAAATAAAAAGAAATGGTCAAAGAGCATACGAGAAGATTCCCAACTCCAATTAGATAAGTACAAACAAAAAGATACCAAACTATTTGCTTTTCATTTTGGCAAAAATATAAAAGATTAATAGTACAGGCTGTTATTGCTTATCTAAAATGCTTATGATTAAAAGTATTTCAGATTTCAGAATTTTTCAGATTTTAGAATATTTGTATATACATAATGAGATATCTTGAGGATGAAACCCAAGTCTAAACACAAAATTCATTTATGTTTCATATATATCTTATACACGTGGCCTGAAGGTAATTTTATACAATATATTTAACAATTCTGTTGATGAAACAAAGTTTGTGTACAATGAACAATCAGAAAACAAAAATGTTAGTGTCTTAGCCATCCATGTGTAGTGTCACAATGCCACTCAAAAAGTTTTGAATTATGGTGCATTTTAGATTCTGAATTTTCAGAGTAGGGTTGCTTAACCTATATATACCAGTGGCAGTACATGCAGAAGTGGACCTTCTTGGAGATTATTCTAACAATGTAATTATTGAGAACAAATTTTGGAGAATAATTTGACATCTATTAGAATTAAAAATGTATGTATCTTATTAGCACAAGTAAGTAGAGTTAGATACAGAAGAAGGTTAGCTTCAGCACTGCTCAGAATATATTTTAAAAGTAAAAGAACTATTTTTTATTAAATAAATTATGGCACATCTATAAAATGAAATACTATGCAGAATTTTTTTTTAAAGAGGTAGAGAGGCAACTTCTGGGTATGGTACTGTGAAGAAGTCAAAAATTCCCTTAGCAAAATAAAACTGTAAAACTGGACAAAATCATCAAAAACCACCATTTTGGGGTTATGGAAATTGACCAAAGCCATATAAAAAATTGAGAAGCATTTTTTTTTTGAAAAATCAAATTTTTGCTTAAAACATTCCCACACACACAAAAAAAAAACTACAGGTCCAAATGCTTCACTGGGGAATTTTATCAAACATTTAAGGAAGACACAGTACCAATCCTATACAAATTTGTTTAAAATACATTGAAGAAGGAAAAACTTTCCAACAAATGTTACATAGCCAGTATTACAAAGCCATGCAAAGCCATAAGAAAAGGACACCACAGACTAATATTTATCATGAACACAGTAAAAATCCTTAACAAAATATTAACAAACCAAATCTTGCAGCATATAAAACTTGCCTTTATATACAATGATTATGTGGAGTCATCCCAGGAATGCAAGTCATTTAATATCCATTAATTAATTAATGTAATCTGCATGTTAACAGACCAAAGTACAAACATCAAATGATCATTTCAACAGATGCAGAAAAAGAACTCCCATGCTCCAAATATTATACTCAATAAACCAGAAATAGAAAAGAACTTTTACAACCTGATAAGGAGCATCTACAAAATACTACAATTAGCATCAAACTTAATGGTGACATGAATGCTTTCCCCCATCAGAAATAAAGCAAGAATGTTCACTTTCACCACTTCTATTCAACCTTATACTTGAGCTTCTAGTAATTGCTAGAAAAAGTAAATTAAAAGCATACAGATTAGAAAAGAAGTTAAAGTGTCTTTCTTTTCAGATGGCATGATCTCATATGCAGAAAATCCTAAAGAATCTACAAACTAAAAACATGAATTAATAGGCAATTTTAGTAAGATGACAGAATGCAAGACTAACATATAAATATCAAGTGGACTTCTACATAATAGCAACTGAGATATTAAAAATAAAATTAAGAAAATCCCATTCACAACAGCATCAAAAAGTGAAATACTCAGTGTGATGTTCAATATTAGATATCAACTGGACTGGATTGAGGGATGCCTAGCTGGCTAGTGAAGCACTGTTTCTGAGTGTGTCTGTGAGGGTGTTTCCAGAGGAGACTGATATGTGAGTGAGTGGAAGTAAAAGACACCTTTGACGTGAGTGGACACCATCTAATCAGTTACGGGTATGATTAGAACAAACCAGGTGGAACAAGGGAGATACTCAGATTGCTTAACTTCCTCCCTCTCTCCCTTTGCAGTGAGGTCCCTTTTCTCCTCCTGCCCTTAGACGTCAGGCTTCAGGTTCATCTTCCTTTGGACTCTGGGACTTGCACTAGCACCCTGCCTGGGGCTCTCAGGCCTTCACCCTCAGACTTACTCAGGATTGAACTGTTGGGCTTCCCTGGTTTCAAGGCTTTTCAACTTGAATTGCGGCACACTACTGGCAATCCCCAGTTTATAGATGGCCTATTGTGGAACTTCATATTTGTAATCATGTGAGCCAATTCTGCCACACACA